TCTTTTTTGTGGATATTCGTTATAGTGTAGAAATCTGTCAGATTTTTTATCTCCACTGTAAAGAGAGTTACTGTGTACTTTGTTGATGTCTCTGTAAGAAAGCACTGGTCACAGTCTGATGTAGAGAATGCCAGCCTACCATGACGTCTTAATCTTTCAAATGATCAGTTTGCACGAGATATCTTCCAAGCCTACAGTGACCTTGGTAAGCGAGCAGCACTACTGTATGATAATCTACAGTACAGTACTATGAGTATATCGCATATACAGTCAAGGAAGATAATGGTGATTCAACTCGAATTCGCATCAAAGTTGAGGACGTTGTTGATATTGCTGAAGAACAGGAGGGTGTCGCCTATGCTCGGGTGAAAGCCATAATATTACATAAGTATAATGATGACACTTTTTATCCTTTCTTTGTGTTTGATTGGTTCTCGTCTACAAGATCTCGCCACAATATCCTACAATGTAGCATATATCTTGCCCAAGGTCAAAATGATCGATGGCGACATGTATACCCACTCACTTTCATTGATCATATTTCGCGGGCTCACTTTCTCCATGTATGTTCGCGTTTCTGTACAGCTGAACGGCATGATAGAACAAAACGGCAGTATATGAAAATTGAATGCAGTATAGATTTATTATGTCAGTCATATGACATGGGCGATCGTGTTACATTAGTATATTCATACTTGGTGGTTGTCATTTACGCTAAAAGGAGAATGGATGACAATGTTCCTAAACGCTTGATAACAATGTAAAAAGGTGTGAAAGATATACGAATTTGCATAGGCTGAGAATGTGTACTGATAACGCGTTTCATATACGAATTAAGCATTTGCCTGCAACGCTTGTGCTAATGCCAAAAGAACTTTCGCTATAGGAATTCGACACTTTGTTACGAGAGTTTATTATAAGATAATTGCTCGGAAACTTCCGCCATTATAGTTTATCGCACAAATATTCTTGGCGTTAAACTAATAAACATAACAAGTATGTATTATGTACAGTATGTTTAAACGTATACAAAAAAATGGGTATATTTCATAATAATGTGACAAATTTTTCATCATTGTGATATTTATTATGAATAAGCGTGATAATGCTCATAAGATTGCAGGTAAATCTTCCATGTTAATTTTATGGTGAGTTACGGTATCATAACGTTAACGAAACGGTGATGGAGTAAAATTTTTGTCATGCTGTCATTTATGAAATGCACGTGAAAAGAACACTGCGTTACACCATCAGTAACCACGTTACCACTTCGTTAACTATTAAAATTAATGGTATACCGACGCGTTAACGTTACGATATGGCAACGGTAACTGTGCAGTAACAAAGCGGTACATAACAACGTTACGGTACCATAACGCTAAGATAACCGCCACGTCAAATAATCGATGGTTTCAGCTAAATAGTTTCTTGGAAGGCGTTTGGAGAGAAGTAGCCTGGAGGACCTACCTACTTTACCAAGGCATTGAAGAAGAACTCGATGAGCCAGACAAGATTTCAGCACGACAATAAGACGCCTCAGAATAGACCAGCTCACCACCATTGCTGAACGATGAAGCTTGATATACAACCTAAGAAGTCGAGAAATAACTTCGGAATGGGGGGAACTCTGTCATATCGACGCTTATGGATGACGTATTCCTCAGTGATTTCCGATACCGCATTCCAATCGATGGCGCAGCACAGATTCCGGTAATTTCAAAGAACGTTACTCAACAGCGGCGCAGGAGCG